ATCTCGAATATCGTAACGACTGAAACATGGGGCGGCCTGGTGTAGCACATGCAGTTGCTTCGAAACATCAAAAGTGAGAGATTCAGCTGGGTTCCAGGTGAGTCGACCTGTTGACCCATCTGAATAAACGAAATCAGACTTCCGTGTCACCATCGCCTATTCTACTCGTGTAACCAAGCTCCGGCTGCCATATCGAGGTGGGTCTGCTCCAGTTCCTAAGAGATGAAACTATATCCTTGCTGCAGTTTGCCGCCCGTTTACTAATTACAACCGAAATGACTCATCCTGGACAATCCTTGACAGCAGCGATTATATGGTACTGTACGGGAGGATTGCGGTATCGTACCGAGACGTAATGGAACTAATTGAAGACACCGAGACCCCATCGCTTAATGTGCCCCAGGTGCTCAGTGTAATACTGTCATACTTAGGTCAGCCAATGGCTACCAAATGGTCTCCTCGAGTTAGTCCGCCGATCTTACTTCTTGAGGCTTACACACAGCCGATCCTGCTTCGCGCGAACCGTTTGTCTCTTTATCAGGTGGTTTTAACAGGCATTTCCGCATTGGCTATCACCCAACCTTATGTATTGTATATTGGTTTCGTAATATTGTTTCGTGAAATACCAGCCAGTCCGTGAACATCACTTTACCTAGTTTCAGTGCTTTTAAATCAGTTAGTTTACATCCAGTACATTACATTATCGACTCATTGAATCAAAATTCATCAATCTAACATTAACGAGATTTTCATCCTCCCCAAATGGAGCAAACTTGACACACACACACCCAAATGGAGAAACTTGACGCACACATACACATATGCCGTTCCTTTCCTTACTTAAGTCTGATCGGTTAAAGCAATGTCCACCACTGACAAGTGGCAAACTTCAATCAGATAGTTCATCATGGCTCATCACCCACATATATGAAGCTCCGCAGTTCGCGATGCTCTTTTCCGCAAACGATAATTTGGCATACGTGACCATATTGTCACGGCTTTTGATGCTGGACACATTGTTCGACAGAGAAACCGGGAATTCAATCAAAGAACTTCTCCGGTACCAAGGGTTGTGGTAGTGTGGTCGTGCACTAGGTATACCAAAAGCTGGCCTGTCGAAAGCAGTGCTGTTCCCATGTCCAGTTCGAATGAATCAAGCAGAGAGGTGGCCAGACTTTAATCTGACAGAAAGGTACGAAAAAGGTACGAAAATTACCGGTTACTGTCTGTGCAACTTGCCTTCCAGGACGAGATTCGTGTGATCCCCATCCCTGCTCTTGTTTGGAGAAGCTGAAAAATAAAGCCGATAGTCGATGCCAGTGTCATTGCTGTTGCCACTTTCCGCCCGGATTGTTCGGACGAGTGTCTGGGGGTGTAGGCACATTGGAGTGATTGTGACAGGCTTGCATTAGCCCCATTTTCCATCCATGATATCCCATCATGTAACAATCTTTTAGCTGATATTCCCACGTGACCAAACTAACAATATTCAGTCCATATGAACCCTAGTCAGCACATCTGTTCACCACGTCAGGCCTTGTCTTGCTTTGATCATACTGTGTTTGTGTTGATGGTCGGTCTTCTTAATGGCCTCCAAATTCTTCAGAGAAGCTCTATGTAAGGTTGAGGAGTCCAGCCTTCCTTCATGTTCCGAACAACACTCAACAGTCTGGTGGGTAAGCCTGTCTGTTACTGTATAAAACTCTCATTCTCCACTCACAGAATCACGAGTGCAACTGGAGTTTTGACCGAATGGTTGTAGGTTTGATTCCCATTCTTGTTGTTCATCCCCTCGTTCCACTCCAGGTGTGCTTTTTCCTCATTCAAGCTGTACCAAGTTCCCTTTACTTCTGCAACGATCCCAAACGACCTACACGAGGTCAGTTTCCATATAAAGTACCACGGAAGAAATCGAAAAAATTCCAGCAAGTTCAGCAGTTTAGTTAAAGTTAAGAACATGGTCTTCGGAATACACTCATTTGCAAACCAGCTTCGTTTTTCGAGAGACTCACCAGGAACCCAGCTAAGTCTCTCGTTTGTGATGCTTCCAGGCAACTGAATATGCTGCACCAGAATACCTCATGTTTTAGTCGCCACGAAATATCGCGATACATGTATATCTTTGTAATGTGCTACCCATAAGGTTGCTGAAAATCCGTCGACAGCCCACGACCGGTTTCGCCCTTCTTGGGGCTCATCAGGTAGGCCTAGTTCCCGAGTTTCCGTCAACCTTGCGTTCTGCTTGAACCCAAATTGCACAAAGTTAGGGAAATATACTCATTTGTAAACTAATTTGCTTTTTCCAGAGACTCACCTGGAACCCAGCTGAATCTCTCATTTATGATGTTTTCAAGCAACTGAATGTGCTGCACAAAACGAACTTATGAGTAATATATGACTCTAAGCGTGGTCTTCGCTTGCGCGGAGTAGGTGGATCAATAAACATTTCTATTGTGAGTCGCCTAGTACCTTCACTGTGACAACTTGTGTGTCTGAAGAAGGGACCTTCATGAATATAGTGCGAAAGATTAGAAGTTACACGCTATTCTTGTGGCAGGCAGGTCTGATGGCTGAAAAACCGTTAGCATATACTCTGACCATTCAGCTCACATTAACCTCAGCCCCATACGACCGTCTGGGATCACAAAACCAACTATGTGACTTACAGTCAGCTTATAATCTCAGACAGCTAGTTTTAAATTAAAAATGGAATCTCGAGATAAGCCACGAGTAGATGGATGCGACCGTGGACGTCAAAGGCGACTTTTTTTCAAGAGTGCTGCGCTGGTGCTGATACCAACACGTCCCAATAATGCATCGGAAACAAGGACAGTAAAGGACCAACCAACAAGACCCGGTCGGTACATTGTCTAGGGTGCAGGGCGAGTGCACTAATCAATACGCGCGGATTATTCCGACACGTATCCGGGTGTGAAGACACTCCGAGCCAAATCACGAACAAAGAACGAAGTATGCGTTGCACGTAGCATTAATTCAACAAGATCAGCACAGAAAGGGGACAAACAAGGCTATCGCGCAATAAAGATGAAATTAGAAACGTGCTATGCCAATAACTGAGTGGGAAATCGCAAAAAAACTCTCACTGGAACAACAGAATTTCGGGACTGACGTCCTAAGCTCGAAGTAAAGTGACTGGACAAGGCTCACGGTTAAGCGCGCGCACGATCAATTCTATCAAGCATGAAACAATCAAGAATGAAAAGGAAATGAAGGGTCAAACAAAACGTCCTTGCAATTACTCAGTACTACCAACCAAACTCGGTCGGTAGCCTCGACAAATCTGTCCGGATAATAAACCCAATTTCAATTTCAGCCATCGGTCATCAGGCGGGAACCTTGCGCTGACTCTTTCTTGTGGCTGGACCAGGGTAACAGCAGGGTTCGGACAAACTGCTTTTGCTGCCCAAACATTTGTTCAGGGGTACTCGGTATAAAATCCAGAAGGCTGATTCCAAGTTCATACAGTGAGATGAGGCAACCAGATGTTCAAGGATGGCATCTTCGACGTTGCTTCTCTCTCTCTCTCTCGCCTAGTGACCACCGAAACAATAGATGCCGTCTTACCATTTCTGCTAGTTGTCGCATCATTCGACCAATATATACAGCCGAATGCGAACGCTGAGCTTGATAGGTGCATGTAATCGTGCGCCATCGGAGATAACACACTCATCTTCGAGGCGTTCAAAAACCAACAGTCGCTGCGTGACTGTGACCACCGGAGACAACTCATCTTTGAGGCGTTCAAAAACCAACAGTCGCTCGGCTGCACTGAATGAGTCGTGGAGGACGATAGACAAGTGGCGTGCATACACCTGAGAAGATGCGTCACTTTTAGATGTAACGCTAACACAGTTCTTTCTTCAAACCAGTCGGAAAGTATTGTCTCTAGGCTTTAGCAGCATATTTTTAGCCGGAGATTCCTTCAGAATGACCGTTTTCGAGCACCCCCGTTTTTAAACCTTCACCAGAATGAATCTCGTAGGCTTGGTGTGACAAACCTTTCACCAGATTTCGTTTTTCGTGCAGTGGAATGGCGCCCAGATGTCGGAGATACTGAATTACCCTGTTAGGCTTATGATGAATAGTTCTTTACTTAGATACTAACCATAAACTTAACTGCTTATTTCACTCCCTTTATAACCCAACCTGAGTTCGTATATAAGCGTACACCAATGGCTATAATGTCTGGCGCGCCGCATTCCAAGCACTGATTTTCGAGTCATCGTCGTCCACTTACGGTGGATTAAATCTACCTGATTGTTTGTTCCACATACAGATGAGACATTACCGCACCCGTCCAATTGTTCCCACTCACGAGGACAAAAATCACACCATTTCTAACTTCTTCGAGTATTATTCCGTCATTCAGAGTTGTTGTCCACGATTTCGACGAACATAAAGCTGACAAATGATCGGGTACAGGCCACATAGCTCCCAAAACATATTTATCTCGGAGAAGTAGTGTTCACTTTTGGAACGCCACTTCCAGTTCTTGTGTGCTGACGAGGGTGTGGTCACTACCAAATTGCCATCGCATTACAGGTTTCCATCTGGTTACCTTGAGGTTTTCCTCTTAAATCAATGTCCTGTATACTCAGATCTTTGGACTAATATCTCATGGTCGTTATTCTCGAAACAGATTGCATGCAGTTTTGCTGCTAGTTGCTACAGATGTTTGAAGGAGCAAGCAATTTATTTAGTTCGTAACCCTTCGACCTTTGTTCCAACACTTTATGGAATGACAGGGTTTCGGATGCTTGCATGAACTGGTGGAATGCTAGCCCTGGGAACCAAATGATCCGCTTCTGACATTGTCACTATTGATGACTAGGCTGTACAACTCTGTCTTGTGCTTTGCAAAGTTTGGTTTGGGGATGATTTAGGTGTGAAACGAATCCCGTCCAAAGTAGCTGGCTCATTAAGCCTGTAAATCCGTGTGTATGAAATCCTTCCAGATTCATTCCAGTTGGTAACACGTTCGTAATGCCTGACCGACTGAGATCTGTAGGGACATAGATCTGAAAGTAACTCACTTACGGCTTGCGAAGATTTGCCTGGTTTCATCTAATTCATATCATGTTATCCCACTATTACTAAAAACGAGGGAGTGCTTTCCATTGTGTTTTGAACTTCTAGGACCATCGCGCAGAACGGAGTTGAAAAACCCAACACTGAGAAGGGGTTCCTCTCACCATCCTCCCCGCCTCCCCCTGTTTGCATGATTAGTCAGACGGCTGTGACAGTAGATGGATGTTCAAAACGACAGCCCGGTGGTCTGATTCCATTGTGAAAGACTGTATGCATATTCACGCAATTCAATGAGGGAACGTAGAGCGCGAATGAAAATTCAAACCGTCCGAATATGGTGAAATCAGCTGTCTGTGGTCACATGCGTAGTGGTGGACTCTAACCAAAAGACTAGGTCAAAACAGAGTGCCGCAAGCGACGAACGGTTCAGAGTTTGATAAGTCAGCTGGAGATGGTTGCAATATAGACCCCGATCGTGCAAAGGTAGAATTCTGAACACAACAGTCCAGCAGTCGCCCAATGGAGAATTTTCACACTGATTTTGAGGAGCAACCTGGTTGCAAGGAGGAACTGAAGATGGCCCATTATATATATCGAATTGGCATTTCTCCGGTTAAACTAAACAGGAGGAACGCGCATCTGTGAGGAGAGTTCGGTTTTCGGGGTGCATTTCTATGGGTTGATTAAAACAAAACACACAGTCCAGATGGGCACATGAATGAATGTTCAAACAGGATTGCTGCAAACTTTCTCTGCCCGACTACGGACAATGATACTCGAGGTTTTATCTTGAACATTAGGTAGTAAACAATCACATATTCGTACTTGTTTGTCTCAGATGAATAGTAAAAACCGCTGGTCAATTAACTCTCTTTTTCCTGCTCAGATGTGTGAAATTATTCCAAGTCACCAGATGTTGTTGTCGTTTTTTGGGTGAACCCAGGGTGTTTTCCAGATACTCAGCCGTGAAGCTTGGGTAGAAGCTAACACAGAGAACTCCCTCAACATAGAAAATTTTGACCTTTTGTGTTTCAGCACCGAAAATGCCGCGAACAGCGCACTAAGCAGTGTCATGTCCACAGTCTTAAACCGTGAGCAGACACAATAAACAAGCCTGTTTGTGAAATTCCTTCACAGTGGTAACTATCGAGGCATATCCGGTCAAACGGGAGTCTTTATTCCCGATGACTTTGAGGCATACAGGTCCTGTCATAGCCCATAACAATGTCCACTGGGAGACGAATTAGGGAAGATGGTTCAACGAATCGACTTGGATACTGAATGTTTGTTTTTAGTAGGCTATGTGATTCATTACCTTGCAACTTCAATGCATGATCAATAACCTGTTTTTTACATCGTGTAAGCGCTAGCCGAAGACAGTCAGGCCAAGCGCTGAGCTTTGAGGATCGATTTTGAACTGTCTGAGGCAATCGCCACCAATAGGTGAGCAGATGTTGAGTTCAGCATGGGTATGTGACGAATTAGATCGAGGGGCCTTGAAAATGAGCTCACAGAGAGACTGCTGTCAATCAACTGGAACGGGAACAGAAAAGATATGAAAGTGATGAGGAGAAGAGTAGCCCGCCCTTACTCACTCACCATGTAAGGTCATAAAACGGCTACTGAAGCCATGTCACAGTCTGTGTAACATGAAATTATCTACTATTGTGTGAACCACGAGTAAATGAGAAGCGTAAAGCTGCTAGATCACCCAACTAGAGTCCTCATACGGGGCCTTTAACTTCAAAGTCAAACAGTGAATGTCCTGACACCACAGTTTCCAGGTAAAAAGAACTGAATCCAATAACGAGGTTGGTATGAGAGCCTCTATGTGCGTCATGTGGGTACCTTTGGGTGTTAGTATGGCTTTTTTCGGGTCTTGGAGTTGCCCGCGAGACCCTGCTATACATAAGGACTAATTTAAAAAAATTCTGCACCGTTAACGTTGAACGGAATTGTCCTCTTGTTCGCTGGAACGTTCACCAAAGTTGTCCGATAAAAACGCCACCAGACTACCACTTGACTGCAACAGATATTCGATTTTGTCTCCCTAGATCCAAGCAGGCCCTCAATCACGATAAGAACCAACCATACTAGATGGAAACTTATTCTGAAAAGACAGCGTCAGATTCACAAGAAAACAAACATTGTGCAAATTGTCCGCTCCAACTGCGCACATGTCCTCAGACCTGAAAATAATCGTAATCCTAATGTAGCGTCTATGACCGTCATCCAAGTTGCACCAAAGTGAAGTCCCAATGGGATGAATTGGACACTTTAAATAGTACGGGGTGCCGGATGAGTGCAATTCGTCGCAGAGAAGACTTCTTTCAATCAGTGCAAGTTTTGGGCAAAAGTTGTTGTATGCGCAGCCTCTTTTCTGTGAATTTGGATCTCCATCTCAAGTGGTTCTCTCCACCAGACAGCCACTTACTTCATTTTACTAATGTAAACTATAGCCACCTCTGTACTGGTATATATTCGTCTTGCAGCTATATGTCCCAAAAAACATCAGAAAACATTCACAAGGTACCACTTCTGAATTTGAACAGACAGCGCAGTAGTAAAACGAACCCTTACACTAACTGATGTATTTTAGGGAGGCTGCAAGGTAAATACGTGGACAATGTTTCTAACAGACACCCTTAGAAACAGTAGGTCAATAATGCTTTATTTTCTGAAAACAGTCAGTACTCAAACCCTTTTCTAACCAATGGAGAGAATACGGAAGACGGTCTCGCCTTCTCGAAAATTTTAAGCAGCGAAAAATCCAGCTGATAGTTCGAAACATTCATACCTGCGTGCATCGGACAGTAGTAAAATTACCTGATTGAGCGCCACATACATTCGGGCCTGTGGGATGTTTATTCATGAATGTTTCTGATAACAACAGGAACGACTTTGAGTGGCTCTCGGAAGATCTTAACGAGGCCAAATGATACTCCTTCGGACTCAGAAAGAAAGAAACCGTTTTCTTATTCGCCCCCATTTGTCAGAACCAAATCAGTTCCGGGATAATATAAGTTACTGCTAGAAATTTCTCTTTTTCCTTCGGACTCAGAGAGAAAGAAACCGTTTCCTTATTCGCCCTCATTTGTCAGAACCCAGTCAGTTCCGGGAGAATATAAGTTACTGCTAGAAATTTCTCTTTTGTGCATGCTTTATACCAATTAATCTGCAGGTTTGACATGAGCAGTTGAATGCTTGGAAGCGTTTTTAGCATTTTCATGATCACTTAGAGGGAGAGAAGCTGATGAAATGATGGTATGCTTGTTGATCCGTTGTGGAATATACCGGGCAACCGGGGCATATTTCAAAATCCTTTCACAGAACAAAAGTCCGAAATGTTTCACATTTGGGGGAACGAAATAAGGCTGTGTACCATAAAGCCCAAGAAATGATCGATAAGCTTACCAGAAGACCAATGTTTAAATTTGATTGATCCACACGTACTTATTGATTCTGTTGAACCAGTTCCGCGTCTGAATGTCCAACCCGGGACTTCATTCTATAAGTGAGATCATTCTGTGCTGAAAGCTGAGATGAACTGTACATCTATTTGATTTGTCTTGGGAACTATCAATAATTTGCGTCTGACCAACCTCTGAGGTGATTCGATCCAGCTTTCTTCTGATGACTAACTGAACACTAAGCCTTTGGTCACCCATGGCTGGTCAGTATTGTGATCAACTTAATTTTAAGACGTGAAATGAATATTTTCCAAAGTGGGTCTGACAACTTGGTGCAAACCATTAACTACTCAGGTGTTATGTCTTCTCACGAGGTCTATCGATGGGTCGTAGAACGACCAGACGCCAGCGAAGTGTTAAACGCTGCCGCTGGCAAGGAGTGAAACTATGCATCAACACAATTAATTTACCAGACATGCAGTTAGTGGTTACCGGGTCGGATGCTAGTAACTATCACCCCATGCCGAGGTGGAAAAAGTAAACCAGTGTCAATGTACGTTAGTTTTAAATATGGTCCCAGTTTAATGGCTTCTTTAGTTTTTACGTGAAAACCCCAGTCTCCATCATCATTGGTCTACTGAGTCGATACAAGAGTTTTTTGAACGTGTGAGAATTGGAATGAATCATCCTCGCTCTCTCGCCCAAGTCACACACTGGAACTGACAGATCGATGTAGATCAATAGAATGTGGTGGAATTTTGTTGACCCTGCTTGCTGTTTGCGGGCTTAGACTATGCAAATCGCCTCAAGCTTTGTCACAGGCGGTTGAGTCACATACTACCAGCCCCCCTGCCAAGGAATCCCCACGATCTTTGGTGAAGCAACGGATCTTCGCCTGAATAATAAGAGAAGCGTGCCGTCTCATTCATAAGTCATCCCACTAATGCAAATCTGCCCAGCCAAACGCTTCGTGCATGAAACTGTTTTTTAACAACCGGGTCCGTTTGTTACATCACAGACCGCCAAAGTTCTTGGCCAACTGGCCTGATTCGAAGCCGGCAGGGGAACTTGCCTGACTTCGTGCTTCTCATATGAGATGATAATTAATGCGCGCTCGCTCACCTTACGATGAACTCACCTCAAGGGTGTTTTCATTAATCATTGTGTACTTTTGAGAAAATATAACCTAGCCCCAGCAGCACACAGGAGATAGTTGTCACTGACAATGTAGGCTACAAAGCTATTAAGCTTTAAATGTGGAAGACCGCTTCAGTTTTGCAACTGCGCCTTACTTAGCCGCCCTTGATAAGGAACAATAAATGTGAAATTGGACACCCTGATTTCGAATAAAAATTGTGTTTGAATGAGAGCTGAACTGAGCATCACGCACTAGGATAGATTGACAGCCAAGACGAGATCTACAGAATTCTTCGCTAACCAAACACATTCTGACAGGCGAGCTATCAGAGATATTCGCCCTCATCCGACTGATCATGACACAGCGAAATGGCAGGTAACTGAGCGTGGCTCGTGTTTTGACTTTTACAGTGGGGCAGCGGGCGTCAGTATTGTCCAAATATCCTAGGATTATTGGCTTGGAGCAAGACCTTGTTAAGGCGCCCGAGTACATACAACACAAATATCCACAATGGAAAGCGAACCTGTAACGCCCGGCTTACAAGTTGTCTCTCTAACCTCGATTTAGATGAAACCAATATTTCCATGTGACTGTCTAATATTCACGTCTTGTCGTAAGCATCTAGAAGCGAGAAGAAACATCTCTCCTGGTTCTCATCCGTCTCACCAGTCACGCAGTGTTACAAGACTCTTCAACGTGCAAACATATGAGTACAAGATACCTATCATTTTCGTAACATTTCGTATGAACCCAGTAAGAGCTCATTCTCTCGCACTATTCTCCCAAGTTTCGTTCGACAACCAATCGGTCAAAGTAGCTCGTCATGATGCAATAATCCCGTCCTACAACCATACATTTGGACTGTTCTTGAAGCTAACAAATTCAATCTGTCGGCGCGTTTTCGGTTGTGCAACGGGTTCTTCCATTGAAGAATGTATCCAGCACCAGAAATTGCGTTGGTTGGGACATGTGTTACGTATGCCGAACCATCGTTTGAAGAAGAGAGTGCTGTTTTCCATGTCCAATTCAGAGTGGCGTAAACAGAGAGGTGGCCAACCCTTGACTTGGCGGAGGAGTATGAAGGAGATCACGAAACGCTTGGGTGCTGTCGGTGCTACTCACCTTCCAGGATGGGGACCGCGTGATCCTCACCGTGCCTGGTTGGAGACACTACAATATATGGCTGCCAACCGATGTCAGTGGCGTTCTTGTTGTCAGTTTCTATCCAGATCGCCTGAGTGGATATCTGGAAGTATAGGAATCTCGGAATGATCCTGGTAAGCCAGCACTAAGTCCCTTCGTTATTCACGATCGTGGCAAGCCAGCACTAAGTCCCTTCGTTATTCACCCTTATTACAATAAGGCTTTCAAATAAATCATGGTTGTACGGCAGTGAATCATCGGTGTTGAACACTGATATCATGCTGTCGATGATGATGATGATGATGTCGGCTTAATAACGGTAAGTAATCCGACCTTCAACAGAACGTAACTGAAGGAGCATATTCTCACGGCATGTGAACTGAGTTTTAAAAAAGTCATGGAAACAGAACGAACATCACCACCTACCAGCGACCCACTGCCGAATAGTGATTTATACAAAATCTAATCCGAAGGCTCGAAGATCTGTAGGCACATGCTCTTAATGTTGAACACAGATTGAATTGCCTGTTCCAGGCTGGTCGATTCATTCGAGTTCTGAAGCTAATCACTTGGCATGACGAAGCTTCTTGTCAAAAGCGTAACCTTGCTCAACAATATATTTACCGATTGTTTCCCAAACTTTTCCGAAAACGGGTTCTGAGGCTGTTCATATGACAAGAATTGTAGATTTGTTGCTGCAACCTGTCAGCTTTTCCAATCAAGTATCGATAACTATTTATGGTTTGAGCCTATGATGTCCATCTGGATATCGATCTTTTCGTTTGTGAGTTTACAATCAATTTTCAATTGTTTCCGACCTGTTACCCGGACCAACATTCTGACCAACCAGATAAGCTGACAAGCCAGAATTTGAACTATAGTCTTCTCGGTCGGTCCTCCCTGTGGTAGGTCGTTTACTTATCAAGTAATCGATCGCATTACACCCACAGTTCATTGCAGATCCAAAGCCCTCTGATGTTCTTTTAAAGGAAACTACTCACAAGGTTGCTGAGAACTCTTCGACAGCCCACGACCAGTGTATTTCTCGAAAACAGTGCAATTTGGGTTCAATTAAAATCATAAGGTTTTCGGAAACTCGGGGACTGCGCCTACCTGATGAGCTCCAAGTAGGGCGAAACCGGTCGTGGGCTGTCGAAGAGTTTTCAGCAACCTTGTAAGTAGTTTCCTTTATGAAAATATACTGCGATATCTCGAATATGATGCCAACTGAATCATGAAGCGGCCTGTGCGCAGCACTTTCAGCTGGAGGACATCATAAACGAGAGATTCTATTTAGTCCCCCGTGAAAACCAAATTGATTTGCAAATGAGTGTATTCCTCTGATGTTCCTTTCGCTAGTCAATATGAGTTATTGACTTAACTGACAACTGGGAAAATAATGTCACCAAGTCAATAATATCCCAAATTGTCTCCTGTATCATATTTGACGGTTCTAAAATGACTGCGAATCTTTAGGCTTTGTGTGCATTTTGGTTCCGTAAAAGATAAGTGGAACTCTTTGCAGTTGAGATTTGTAGTCAACTTCAGGGAAAAGAGTGTCTGGTATTATCCCTAACAAGGCACCGATATCAGCACCTAGAACCAAGGATAAAGTGCCCCTTACATCGAATTAGGAGTGATCCCACAGTTCAAGGAATTAAGTTCGCTATAGCTAGTTTTGACTATTCAGCAGGCATGAATATTATGTGATGCGAGACCGATTACAAGTCTGTACCGAGCTTTCAATACACAAGGCCTATGCCTTATGAGTATGCTGCACACAGGCCGCCTCATGAAGAATATCATAAACGAGCGATTCAGTTGAGTCTCCGGTGAAAACCAAATTGATTTGCAAATGAGTGTATTCCTCTGATGTTCCTTTCGCTAGTCAATATGAGTTATTGACTTAACTGACAACTGGGAAAATAATGTCACCAAGTCAATAATATCCCAAATTGTCTCCTGTATCATATTTGACGGTTCTAAAATGACTGCGAATCTTTAGGCTTTGTGTGCATTTTGGTTCCGTAAAAGATAAGTGGAACTCTTTGCAGTTGAGATTTGTAGTCAACTTCAGGGAAAAGAGTGTCTGGTATTATCCCTAACAAGGCACCGATATCAGCACCTAGAACCAAGGATAAAGTGCCCCTTACATCGAATTAGGAGTGATCCCACAGTTCAAGGAATTAGGTTCGCTATAGCTAGTTTTGACTATTCAGCAGGCATGAATATTATGTGATGCGAGACCGATTACAAGTCTGTACCGAGCTTTCAATACACAAGGCCTATGCCTTATGAGTATGCTGCACACAGGCCGCCTCATGAAGAATATCATAAACGAGCGATTCAGTTGAGTCTCCGGTGAAAACCAAATTGATTTGCAAATGAGTGTATTTCCCGAAAACAGTCCAATTTGGGTTCAAGTAAGAAATAAGGTTGATGGAAACTCGGGGATTGCGCCTACCTGATGAGCCCCAAGAAGGGCGAAACCGGTCGTGGGCTGTCGAAGAGTTTTCAGCAACCCTTGTGAGTATTTCCTTTGTTCATTTCTTCTTTCAGGAAAGGGGGTAATAGGCTGTCCGGGTATCTCGTCTCTGGCGAATTTCCAGGTACTCTAAAACTGGAAAAATACCTTGAGTGACCAATGCAAAATACCCTCTCCCGACTACGATTCTCCCAGGGTGAGAAAACTTCCTTAGTTTTGTGGGTTCATACTCAGCAGCATACCGTACAGAAGGCCATCCGGGAGACGTGGCAGGAAGTGTTCACCATTAAGTAGCTTTTATTAGCAGCAGATCTGGGCAACGCGACATTCTACATTGGCCCAAATATCGGTATGGTTTTCAGTTTGGTCATGCTAAAAAAAACCACAAGATGTACAAAATAATCAATCTCTGAACCCGTCTCGAGCTTCCCCCCAATCAATGCTTGTTTTCTTTTTTTAGGGTGTGGGAAGTAAGTCAAAGAGGTGTGTTACTGTGCCCAGGATTGTCTGTCACTCAGAGAGTCAATCCATGGTTGATGAGATCAATCCTACAGTTTAACCGGCTCCAGAACTAATTTGATGGAAAGCGCTTATTCTCATTGAGTTTTAGCCAATCCATCCCGTAGTATCTTATAGTACATCATGGGTTAGGTAAATCCCGCTTAACTCAGTTCCGCTTGGTGTCTAGGACGTTACCATAAATCGATCTCGTCCATTTCCATCAAAGCCCGCTTCGATTTCAGGTCTGACAATAACAAAAAATTGTTAAACCTGGATAAAAACCGAAAAGCTTCCAAATTACTCCACAAACCTCAGTTCCAATAAAGGCAGGTCTAAAATTATCTGAAAAATGGTAAAATCCTTCATGAAGGCTTGGCCATCTCATCTGTCTAACTTGCCGAATGACTTCGATATTATATCGGAAACCCAGTAAAAGAATCATGTTAGTCATGCAGAGGGGTGTCGTTGTTTTGTGAGGGTCACTCAGCCGATACCAGGCAATCTAAATGCACTCTTGCTCCACCCCCCGTTCTCGGGTTGCTATGGTGATCTCTCTGAACTTAGTGGCCGTACTGATCCATGCAGACACGAGGACAATGGAGGTGTGGTAAACCAATTTGTCTTCCCGACAAGTGCCTCATTTCGAGGGGTTGGAACTGAACGTCCATGCGTAGTCTAAACGCATGCACGTCATGGACACATGTCGTTTTCCCGTCAGCTTTACTGGGCAACTACAGTTGAATGCTGATGCCTGCTCCTACATGCGCATGTGTCAGGCACGAACAATTGTAAATTTTGAAAGTTAGCGGAGGTTATCAGCTGGCAGACAGCTTCGTGCACTGCGTCAGACCAGCAAGATGTAGTTGTCAATCATGAATTTCAGCCGACGGAGCTCTGACCACTGAACGATAGCAGGGTAGCGACTAGATGGTCCACTGATAGAATCTCGGTGTATGTGCCGGGTTTCCAACTGAAACTTCCATGCATGGTTCATTTTAAAGCGCAGGCTGCGGTTTATCCGTCTGACAGAGTGGCTAGTGCGTGCAGACTACGGATCGATAGCCGAATTGGATTGGACAGCTGAATGAATGCTGGATGCTGGATGGATTGCTGATTTTGGCTCACTGTTGAGGAGGTAGTGCAGGAAGCAGCACCTACGCACTCCCATTTGGAACCATCAAATATCAGCATAAACTGTCACAGTCATTTAAAAAAGCTATAAATGAGATTCTTGGACCCCAGTAACTATAACGTTGACTAGTTTGGCTAGGGACACAAAGGACTTACTGATTTAAGCATGGCAAGCTATGCAAGGTGGACATTTTTAGCACAAGCTGACGCTGGTCGTAAATATTTATCTTACAATATGCTTCTCGGTAAACCACCAAATGAAATCTTTGAAAAGGATGACATGGTTCCGCAACCCAGTAAGTCATGCGATGGGTTATCACAATAGCTTCACTTTGCAAATTAACCACCTTAGCGGTTCCTTCATTTGAATCTCAGTTCTGATTGCCAACAGGCGCGGAAGTGTTGCTCAATGTTCAACGAACTTTAACAATAAATCAACACTGTGATTAGCGAACTACACTCATTTGCAAACAGATTTGGTTTTGCGAGAGACTAATCTGGAACCCAACTGAATCTCTCGTTTGTCATGCCCTGAAGCAACTGCATATACTGCACCGGGGCGCCTCCTGTTTCAGTTGGTACTACATAAATAGCCTCCGAGGACGGGGGAACAGCACCACATCAGACAGAATTGCCCGAAACGCTATGAATAGCGCTGCTGTACCCATGTCTTGTACATTGGTGGCCGGGACTGGAAGCGTAGTTTGGCAAGCCAATCAGTAACAGAAGCAAACGTAAACCCTAGTTCGGTCAAAAAGCCGCAGTGAACTGCAGTGAGTAGTGATCACAGGCCGAATGATCGATGACGTCAATGGAACGATCAATGTCAGTCAGTCGATAAGCTTGTACTGTTAACAGCTGGACTGCTTGAGAGGAAAGGACGACGATAGTCAGTAAAAAGCAAGCGAAGCTTTCATTAGTACAGCCAATTTTAACTCAAGAAGATATGAAACTGAGCGTCCATTTTACGTCCACATTAATATATG